GACAGCTCATCCGTCTCCTAGTGGAGCTCCATGCATTCCAGCTGTCCATTGACATAGAGGGCGACACCCTCTCCTCGTCTCCCCTGCCTGTCATTCTGGAAGAGCAAGTATCCTTCCCACCATGCCTTCCCACCATGCCTCCGTGATGCTGGGAAGATCATAGCCCTGCAGGCATGTGCAGATCTCTGACACCTCTTGTTTCTTCCCCATGCTACTTTTGTTTGTATAGAGGCATTTAAGTTGGGCCTCTGATGGAGCTGACTTACTGTCTGGAGTGGCCAGAATTGCATCGTGCTGTACTCCAGGTGCTCTCCTGATGACCTGTGGCCCTTTTCCAGACTCTGGGCATCATACTGGTAGGAGTGGAATAGATTAAGGTTCCCCTTCCCCAGCAACTCTAGTTTAAAGCCCTCTTCATGAGCTTGGCAAGCCCAGAGGACCGAAGACGTTCTTCCCCTTCTCTGACAGATGGACCCTATCAGCCCCCAGTGGACCTTCCTTTTCAAAGCAAGTCCCAAGGTCTATGTAGTCAAACCTCTGGCTGTAGCACCAGTCTTTAGCCATTTATTGACTCAATATATTTGACTGGCCTTTTCAAATCCCCTCCCTTAGACCAGGAGGATTGATGAAAAAACTGCCTGTGCTCCGGAGTCCTTTACTGCCGCTCCCAGGGCTCTGTAATCCTTCTTGATATTCCTTTCAGCAATGGTACATAGTTGATGGAGGACTTTTAATAATGCACACAAAAAAATGCCATTTGCTTTTACTCTTTTCAATAACAAACTCTTTTATTTCAAGAATGTGAGTACAAAAGAACTGTTTAAAATATAATCATTTTACCTTGAGCTATTTCCTGTGCCGTTTTCAAAATATGTGTACCTATACTTACTGATTCCTACAGACTTTCATGAAAATCTCAGAGAGAGCAGTTTCAGAGCTGATCATGATGGGACTTCATTCAGAAAATAACAAAATAGGTGCTGAGTACAGCAATTACTGTGAACAAGTCCATGGGTGCAAGCTAGAAGCCAAAAGCCTAATCCTGTTGTATTTGGAACTTAAGGGTTGTGGGGTTTTTTTTGGTTTTGGTTTAGTTTAACTTACTTTTTTAAATCATCATCCTGTACTTTTCCTTTTTCCTGAAATAATTTCATATAGAACATGAGTGCTTGTGGTGGGAGAGAGAGGGAACATATAAATTGGCATTTATTAATGAGGTACAATATTATAGAAGAGCATTGAAGAACTTGAACCTTTTCTCTGTTTAGTAACTAAACGGTGGCAACACAAAAATCAAATAACTTCCAGTGAGGTTGTAATAACTGAAATAAATATATAAAATAAATATTTATGAAATGTAAAATATTTTATATAAAAAATAAATATTAAAACAATAACAGCAATAAAGAAATACCCACTCATTTACTTTGAAAACTAGATGATAGTAACTCTGAAATGTACTTTATGCTTGGTCCATAAAATAATACAAAAAGACTTTATATTTTTTTTCTTGGAAGAAGGACTTTCAGAAAAGGCTGGAATGAATCAGTGTCCTGTGATGTTGCTTCCCTTTTTTTTTCCCCCAAGATTATTTCATTCTGGTTGGAAGGTGGTGAATCGCTTTGTATACTGCAAGTACATAAATACGATCTACTGAAAATATGGAGTTTTTATGACTGTTCCATGGATTGTGGCTCTTAATCTCTCAAATGGAAAAGCTCCAGTGAAACTTCACTCATTGCTGCCTTGAGATTTTTTCACTGTGCTTAGCAGTGGAGAGTATTCAGACGCTCCCAGATGAAAGTCCTTTCTTCACTAATATCTTTGAAAGAGCTCACTATATCAGCTTCTCTGAAAATGAAAGGTATCCTAATTCTTCATATGCTGTGCTTACAAGAAGTACATTCCGATTGTTCCATCATTTTGTACCTTCCACTTCTAGATTAAATTGTTAAAAAGCAAATGTAGCATACATGTCATTTAAGGTACTCCTATGGACTTACCCTCTACTTAACGAGAAACAGAGAGGACATACTTTACAAGGGGATGACTCTGTCTCTGGCGATGAGCCTCCATAACCTTAACTAATACTTTTGCTGCTTTACAGCCACCTAAAGCCCAGTAACAGTGGATGTACACTATGTTGCAGTGCTCAATATACTTGCAGTCTTTGCACCCTGTGACACAAGGAAATATTTATGTCATATAAGTGGGAAGAGCTGCTGCAGGTCTACAATACATTTTAATTTTCTTCTGCTACAGAAACAAGAATGGCAACAGAGAAATGATCTTTAAAATATATCTATGGAATGTTTTAAAAATCTTTCAATTTTTCCCTTATTTTAAACAGCTGAACAAAATTCCTTGAAAGGCAGCGTGACATTATCTTTGTATAGCAATTGCACTGATTTAGGTATCCCAGTTTTTGAAGTTCAGAAAAAAAAAAGTGGTCACTATGCCTGGAATAAATTATCATCTCTAAACAAAATAAACAAATGAAAACAAGCGTAAAAAACCCAAATAGCCCAGCTGGCTCAAAATGAACCTATGCAGAACTAAAACTGAACAGGTCCAAATCGTGTTCTCATCAATAGCCAGTGCTTGCATACCCTGGAAAGCTTTTTGTTTCACAAATTATCTTGACATAAAGCTTCATTGTTCATTTTCTCTGAATATAGTCCTTATTCACCTTCACTATGCTGTAAAACTGGTTCCTTTCCTCTGAAATGGGGTTTTATATAAAGATCCACTAAGATTATATGATTTACTCTGTCTTTTAATGGAAGTAACAATAGTATAAAGACTTACGGATAGTGGAGAATATGGCAACTCATGCTCTCAGGAACACTCATACATATCATATTTATATTTCCACTTTTTCTTTGGTTTCCATTCAATTTCTATTCTCAATGCAGGACTGTAATCATGATGTTCAGGTGCCTAAGGGGTCAAGATCTAAATACACCTCTGATTATGTCTTTTTTACATGATCTACTAAGACAGCTGTATTCCTTGGGAGCAATACATCTCCTGCAACACAGAATGAAATATATTAGTGATGGGGAAAAAAAGAATGCTTGTTTTCATTTCAAGATGTTTTACTGTAGCTGGATTTCCCTTGTCCTTAACTGGAAAATCATGTGCCACTCTCTTTCTTGCTAAACCTTTGCTTTTTAATCCTAAATTTTAGAGAAAACAAAGAAAAACCCAGCATATAATAGAGTAAAAATCCTCTCATTATGTTTATCCTAGGATGTTTTTCTAGACAGAAGGGGTGGAAAAGAGCAGAAGCCTAGGACTGTAGCTCCTAAGTCTCTTTGCCAACAGCCATTAAACACTATGATGATAGTGTTCACTGTCGCGGATATCATCTCTGTATTTATATTAATGCCTAATGTATATTACTTACATATATGTCATATATTTGCATGAAGTTTTAGAGAACCTTGTTCCATATTGATCTTTGAGATCCTCAATTTTACCATGTTGTAATTCACTGCCGTGTAGGAGTCACAGCAAGATAAAATTTAGGTGGTTTAGCAGTGAACCAGTCATGATGCTGTTGACAGCCTACAATATTTTGCTGTTCTGACAGTTTCACAACAGTATGTGCACAATAGGAAGCGTTGTAAGCTGGTTCTGAGAAGAATATATTGGGTAAACTTGTATTCTAAATGGAAAAAATGCAGTAGTGAAAATATCATTACACTTTTCATTCCCATTCTCATATGTTTCAGATTTTGTTCTGTGTTTCTTTGGGCTTTTTTGGTTTTGTTTTTGTTTTTTTTAATTTTGATGTTAATATAGGTTTAAAATTTCTGGGTTTTTTTCTCATTTTCTCATTTTTAATATTTCAATGACAAAAAATAATTTATTGTGAATATTATTTAAACTGCATAACTTTTTTTTATAAATACAGTATTACATTTGTTCCAATCTTATTTTTTTTATGAAAACCAAATATAGTAAGCTTGTGGTTTGCAGATATATTTTTGCACATTTGAAGATTTCTAATGGATTGTCTACAAAGACAAAAGCCAATAGAAATTATATTTACTACATAAAATCAGAAATGATATGTAATACAAAGGGATAGCTGGGATTATTTTCAGTCTTACAACACATTGAAATTCAATAATGTAACTTACTTTCTTGTAAAAGGTAGTGTTTTGGTATACTAGTAGTCTATTATTGGTTATACCAGAGGAATTGCATCCTTTTAAATGTGTAACATTTACTTCAGATTAATATTCTTCATAAAATAATTTTTTGCAACTTTTTATTTTGCCTCTCATAGCATAGTCACAATTCCGAATTCAGGGTTGTACATTTCCTTCACGTTCAGGGAAAGCTACATATACTGAAGAAGTCAATAAAAAGCAAACAATGTTTCTGAGCTAACAGGGCACTGTCATTTTCCTGTCATTTTCAGGGTTGTTACATAGTAAATTTAGTAAAAGAAAAACGGCCACCTACTTCAAATATGAGTGAGGTAGAGAATGAATTACTGAAGCAAGAGCCAAAGGACTGACAATCTGGTCAAAATGGGCATATTTTGAAATACTTTTTCTTTCAAAAGCAACATGCAAAGCAGTTAAAACTTCATTATACTCATGGACATGTGGGGAAGTTTTGTTTTCCATGTACTTTGTCATTTGTTTTCTGAAAGTATATAAAGAGCCAGTCATTTAAATTGCCTTACTGTAAAAGCAGATTGTTCCCTTACTTAGCCGACATAAGTAAAAGTAACCTGTGTGACCTCAGCTCTCTGGCTTTTATGGAACAATAACCATTTTCTGACAAAACCAGTTTGCAGGGTTTTTATATGTCCACTGCAAAGAAAAATTGTATGTCATCTCGGTTTTAGCCTATCCATCAGCTGGCTGCCCATTTGTTGTGGAGTGTCTGCTGTGACATAGGGCTGTGACTCTATTCGGCTGTAATAGATTGCCTGTAGTGCATTCAGTGACTCTGGTACCTGTTGCTGGTTCTTTTTCCAGGTCAACTGGCTGCAGGTACATGTGAGATTGTTACTTTGGACAGAGATAGCAGTCAGCCCCGAAGGACTATAGCCCGACAAACAGCTCGCTGTGCATGTAAAAAAGGACAGATTGCCGGTACAACAAGAGCAAGGCCAGCCTGTGTTGATGGTAAGAAGCAAAGATCTATTCCATCAGTTTCTGCCAATAAAGAGTGGTGTAAACTGGTAGTGTCTCATAGGAAAAAGAAACGCTCTATACAAGAAATCTTAATGTGTCCCAACTAACAACGGCAATACCATTGAAATTACTCAAAAAGGTATTGCTGACTAATAGTATAGATATTTCAGTTACAATTTTTTAACTGGAATATACGCTTTTGTTTTCGCTTGATATGCAGTTGACTGTTAAAGGCATGGTGCTATTATATTTTGCATGTGATGACAACATCAGCAGTGAAGTGGCATTCTTTTCCCCCTACTTTTTATTCCATATAACATAAAAAACCCCACTGAAACGTTGCAAAAGCGCCTCAAAGGTTTTATGCCACTGGGAAGCTAATGTGACTGTTCCTGTGTGATAGATAATGTTGTTAAAGAAAACATTGATACTATAGATGGAATATATAATCTGAATATACCTCGCATGTGCAGCATTACTTCTCCTCTTAAAATGATGATTCTGTGTGAATCACTGCAGATGCAGTGATAGCATGCAGCTGGAAAACTGCTGACATACAGGGAGGTATGAAAATATTTCACTTTGAAATCATTTTTTGAGACAAATGAATGTATTACAGCTAAAAAGACATTAACAATGGGACACTTCAAGGCAGGTCTATCAGTGCAAGGCTATTAGCAAGCATTCATATTTAAAAAAAAATTGAGACCTATTGAAAATACTTGATGCAAAATGTTTTGTTCTAGGTTCATCTAAAAAAAAAAAAAGATGCTTATGTATAGAACTACAATAAATTCACAGCCTGTCTTTGAATACTGACTGGTTTGAGTCCTCAAATAAAAATATTATTGAGAACACCCTACTGTTTCCTCAGAATTTAGTCTAACCAGTCATTATCATAGAGGACAGCTCAAAGGTTTCAGAGCCTACCCACAAAGCTAAATATAGAACATCATGCACATTCTATTTTTGCATTTTCCTTTCACTGTTTTTGGTACTCTCTAAGACAGTTTCTTAGCTGTCTCTTTCGTAATGTGATACTATATCCAGTAATTCTCTTCTTTCCTCTTTTATTGTAAGATCATCAGACTTAATTGCTTAAGAAAGGGATGATTTTATTGTGTCATTTGTAGTTGTAACTTTAGCAAAAATATTTGTTAGCAATCAAAAAAATCAACATATGTTTCTCATTTTAAAAAAACAAAGTTCTGAGGGAAAATACTAGTTTTGCATCATCTGATGGGAACTAAACATTTTTTTCTCAGTCAGTTATGGCCTGTGGGGAGATTCGTTTGCTGTAACTTGGGTATCCAAAGCTAGTTGTCTAACCTAGGAACCCCAGTTTTTCTGAAACCAAATGGAGAGTAAAAGACATCTCAGAATAATTTATCTTATCCTAAGTTCCTAAGATAAATTAGATATATCACTCTCTGGTACTCACTGTTTCTCTGCCTTGCCTTAAGACACCTGTGGTGTTGAGACTTTAGACAGCTAGAGTGTACATGTCAGTAAGAAGACATGACTACACCTCATCCTTCAATTGCTATGTCAGATTAGTTTTCAAAGTTTGAGATCATTTAACATTTGAAAATATATTTATTTGTTTGTTTGTTTATTTGTGTTATTGCGCACTCACAAACAACGGCTACTTCAAATTCTGCTTTTGCTTTCAATATGCTTGATCATCATTTTATGAAAACAGAACTGGATGGTTAGGTATTGTGTTATCAGAGGTGGTTCTTTATGTAATACTCCACATTTGAAAAATAAGTGGGAAGTTCATCAGTTGAAAAATAGGGCTTCCTATTAACTTATGGGTCAAAGTATTATCGTTAATTTTTAAAATTTCTCTATGTAATTCTAATAAGATGTAGTAACACAGTTCTTTATTATTTTTTTGAAATGTTTATAGAGCCCTTTGCTAGGAATGATAACTACAAGGCACAAAGGAGATGCTACCTTGCTCTCCTGGACACTGTTAGGGATATTTCGTAATCAAAGCTCAAAAAGGTTAACGATACCTAAACTGTATATGAAGTTCCCATTGAAAAAAGGCACAAATCAAACCTTAGATCTGTAGGTTTTATTCCTGAATGAAGTTAAAAAAAACAGTTTTACATACCATAAACAAAATTATATTCAAAAGAATAAATGGGCTTTTTATCTTGTCTCTAATCTTCTGCTTGCAAATAAAGCTGGCAGATAAACTGGTCATTGACTAACAAGTATCCATCTGTGAATTTATCAGGCTCATAGCTTAAAGTATGCACACTGAATAACTGAATTTTTCCGTACTGTTTATATTCTTTTCTAGAATAAAGTGTTTCAAACACAGCTATTAAATGCTTTCTTCTGGACATGAAATCTGCATAAAATTATGTCTGAGAAAAGCTAGTTTTATCTCTGATACTAAGTCAAATACTGCTGACTTAGGAATGCTAAAATCAAACTTTTTTTTTTTTTCCTCCCCACAATAAAGAAGGGTATTTTCACTTATGGAAAATCTTACATCTAGCAGACATTCCATTAATTTTTTTCTTGTATATCCCATTATCCAGACAAACAAATAAATCTTTCTCTGAGCTTTCTTAAGCAGGATATACAGTGTGCTTCTGCAAGTTTTCTTTAGTTATATTGTAGCCGATGCTAAGTATGTGATTGCTATTCAAGATTTCATTTCTGCTACCAAAAAAACCTCATTAGGCACTGTTTTTTTTATGCCAGTTTGCTTTCTAAAGATTTGATTCTTTTAGTTTTATTCTTTACATTGTTTTGATTTTAATGAGATTATTTTTGAAGTAAAGGTAACAGAATTAGACCTTAGACCTTTAATAATTAATGCAAAGTCATTTGTGAAGGAAGCAGGCATAGTAAGCATGACCTGCTAACCTACTACCAAGAAAACATTAGCTAACAATTGTGTTACTGCTTCTGTCAAGAGAGTGTTTTGAAGATTCAGCACCAAAGCCTGTGATTTTTACAACCTTAAAATGCATGATGTTCTACCTGCCTACCATTTGTTCATTCTTTAATGGAGAGAATTGCCTTAGAATACATTCAGTTATGCTGTGTATTTCCTGGAGCTCTGAAATGCAAGTGTCAATTATTGCAGCAAAAAGAGTAAGTAATTTAAGGGCTCTTAAACCTCACAAGCATTGTCTGAGATTGCACTTGTCAACGTAGCTCTTACTCTAAGTCCTGAGTTGATTACCAAAATCCACTCCGATTTATACTGCTACATCAGCTAAGGTCTTTTCCTAAGAAATGAAAGACAGTATATGTCAGATAGATAAAACTGGAATTCTTAAAAATGACAATGCAGCATTTAGGGCTTGGTCTGAGCAGAGCATGAAGAACAGAGATTTCTTTGAAATGTTTCCCTGTGATAGAGAGTGCTGATTTATTCATTATGTTTTTTCTAGCAGTCTTTAAGTATGGGAGATTGCTAATGTAATCTGAAAAAATAGCAGCAATATTCATCCTGATTTCAAGCATGATTTAGTGTTGATTGCTTCATTCCTAGACCCACAGAGTCATAATGTACATTTGCTATGTTTGGTTGTGATGTAATTTTTATTCATGAATGTAGGTTTTGTGATATCATGACAGTAGTTTGCCTGCATTTTAGTTATATTATTATTATTTACAACTAGCATCCCCAAGTCCCTTTTTTGAGCTCAAATTCCATAGCAATGACCTCAGTCGCATGACTTTGATATTATATTTCAACATAGCATCTGGTTTATCACCAGAGTAATTTCCCTGTGTGTCAGACAAGCTTCATCAGTTTTTAAACTGGAGCCTGCAAGAGACTGAAAGATAGCAATTATTCTCTATTTTTGTCCAGTACCTTTGCAAATTTAAATTTGTTTTAAAGCAAGTAACAAAAAAGTCTTTGATAGCAGTGTGTGTAAACATGCATCCTTGGTTTGAGTTCTTTCACAAGAAGTGTATCTATCTGAAAATAAAATTTGTTATGCTGAAGCATTTCATAGAATACAAGTATATTAACTGAGAAGAGTGGGATGAACATTTAAACGTTCAATAGATTCCAGTAATTCTGTCCAATATATATTTATAGCTCAAAAATAAACAGCAATTTTCTCTAGAAAATAGAAACTGTTGATGAGAGGAAAAGTGGTATGAGAGAAGTGGTTTAATTGCTTGAGAAAATTAGGATGGTAATCTTTAATGTGCTTACCTGAATTCTGTGACTAGAAGATTCTCATGCTCTGGATTTGAGTTCTGGCTACTTTTATGTCCACAAAGTGCTATGAGAAATCCCAGGACATTGATTCTGATATCAAAAATTCCTAAATTTGGAATAACTGGAGCTCAGGTAATTGAATTCAAAGTGTTCAATTAATGTCAATTTCTTAAAGACAATTTATGTTGTGAATCAAAGTATTTTTTTGTGTGTGTGGTTTTGTTTTTTTTTTTTTTCTTTGTTTGATTTTGTTTGTTTGTTTTTAAAGCTTTAATACAGTTTTAATTCTTTTGCGACCATTGCAAAAATATTATTTGCTATAGAATCTTAGTTGGTATAATTTGTTCCATACGTTATGATTAACGTGCTTTTCAGTTGGCATTGATTGATTTTGTTTAACACAGAAATTCAGGATCCACAAGGAAACCACATTAGTTTAGATCAATAATTCCCTGCTCTTCTCATTATCTCTAGGAGTCTACGGGGAGGTGTAGGGGTCAGAACTGATCATTAGTAGAATCCTAGGTCATGTACTTGAAACAAAGCTGCCCATTACATGGAGAGCTTCATCATTCTAAAGCATCTTCTATATACTGGGAGGGAGGAGAAAGGGAGGAGAACTACAATGATTTTCAAAAATGGAAATTGTAGCTTTTACCTTTAGAATATTTCATATGTTTGTTAAGGTGCTATTTGTATTATTTTATCCTGGGTTTTATAGCAGATATTTGCAAGTATTTCCTTGCTGTAAATACACTACATTTAACTTTTTTACATTTAAGGT